TCTCTCTCTCTTTCTCTTCAGAACCGGGGATTGAACTCAGGCCCTTGTGCTTGCCAGGCAAGTGCTTATTCTACTGAGCTATCTCCCCAGCCCCACATTCATTTCTCTCTCTGTGTGTGTGTGTGTGTGTGTGTGTGTGTGTGTGTGTGTGTGTGGTTTTTCATCTTGATTTGGTGGAACGCTGTGCCACTGAAAGGCAGGTGGGTGGTCTGTGAGAGAGTAGGGTGGAATTCCGACTGGAGCAGGATGTGAAGGCAGCGGGGATCTAGGTGTGACAGCCAGGAGGGGGAGAGTGTGATCAGTTAGGTTTCATGAGCATTCCCTCAGCCATCACTACGGGGAGAAAGGACTGGAAAGGAAGGGACCTGAGGCAAGAAGACCAGGTACAGCTAAGAGGTGGGGGTGACTTGGGTCAGTCAGGGGAGAAGGAACTGGGGGTGATTCAAGGAATGTCCAGGAATAGTTGACCGGACTTCCGTTCCTTTAGATTCGGGTGCCCAGTGGAGGTAGTGTCAGCTGATGTCCAGGCTTATGGCTGAGGAGTTGAGAAAACTGGTAGTTTGACAGTTTGGGGGGTACAGGGAATCCCAGGAGAAGAGACCAAGAGGATGAGTAGAGTTGGGGAGAAGAGTGCTCCCCAGGGCTCTGCGCCTCCACAATGCACCTGAGATTTGGGGGCTACATTTGCCTGAAAGAGCGCCACCCACATCAGCAGCTTGGGCAGACATGCCCCACCTGCTCCTGCCAGGCCAGGGGAGAGGCTGGGAGTGGGCAGGCAATCAGAATCCCTGTGTCTGCTTCAGGGCCCTGGAGGGGAAATCAAGGCAGAGTATGTCAGCACACCTGGTGAGAACAACCTATGCCCCACAAAGGAGAGGGAAGGTTGAAGGTGGCATAGGCAAGTCCAAGACCCCAGTCCCCCGCAGCCTGTAAACAGAGGGAAAAGCAAGACACCCCCCCCCCAGCCACAGGCCATCCTGACATTCTTCCCCTCCAAGCTCCTCTCCTCGGCTTCTTCCTCCCCAGAGCAGGGACCATGGGTGAGCAGGGGGTTGGTGTGGTGCAGGGAAGAGTGGAACAGAAAAAAAAAAAAAAAAAAGCAAACTCTGAGCAGAATGTGGTGGTGCAGGCCTATAATCCCAGCACTTGGGAGGCAGAGGCAGGAGGATAGCTGTGAGTTCGAAGCTGGCCTAGGCTACACAGTGATCGAGACTCAACAAACAAAACAGCAGCTTTTTCCCTTTTCAGCGCTTCCTTCTACCTCATTCCCTCACCATCCAGTCCCACTGGTCCACATTCTCCGCGGATGTCCTGAGTATAACTGCTTCCCACACTTGCCCTGTCCCCAGCTCCCAGCCAGCACACGTCTGTCTTCATTTACCCGACACCAGGGACATTGCCCTACAGGGCCGTCCATCTAGCTCTGCTCCCTCTCGCACTCGACCTTCCCAGTGTGGCCGAAGAAATCTTCTAAAGGCACCCCATTACGCTACCCTCCGTGACGCAGCTTCCCTGCTCAGGTGCCCACCACGCGCCGCGCTCTCCCCACGCATGCGCAGCCCTGGTCTTCCGGGGTAGGGTGGGATGGGGGGTGTCTTCCAGCAGCTCTTCTGTGATCCTCAGCATCTCAGAAGTGGCCTTTGGCTTTTTGTGATCCACTCCGCGCGACTCCTCTGCCAAGCACTTCCTTTCCCCCACCCCATGCCTGTTTGGCACCACACTGCACACCCAGGGTGAGCCCCAGCCGTTGGCCACGCGTGATCTCTGGCCTCCTTGGGGCCAGAGGCTCCATGGTGGCAGCACATAGAGCACCTTCTTTGAATGGCACAAAGGCACGCCCAACCCTGGGGATTGGAGAACAAAGCGTGCCCCGTCCTCCGGGCTGGCACAGCCCTGGAGTTTGGCTCTCGGTCTCAGCTACTTTGCCTAAACAAATGCTCTTCTTGTTCAGCAGCACCGACCTCCTTCAGTGTTTGAAGAGGGTTCCCCAGGCAAGGGGGGCTCCTGGGCAGAGAGACAGACACATAAGGGGACAACTCCCTAAAGGTGGGGCTGAAGTTGGCTTCATTCTTTGCAGGTTGGTCCTGGAGCCTAAAGTGAGGTTTTGAGGCAACCATGGTGGTGCACACCTGTAATCCCAGCCGGGGGCAGGGGTGGGGAAGTGGGGGTGGGCTGAGGCAGGAGATCACCATGAGTTCATACCAAGACTCTGTCAGAAAAATGAATGGACAAATGGACGAGTGAGCCTGGATGGGCACGATGGTGCATGCCTGTAATCCCAGCCCTTGGAAGCCTGAGGCAGGAGCCCAGCCACGAGTTTGAGGCCAGTAGTCTAGGCTACATATCTTGTCTCAAAAAACAAAACAACAACAACAACAAAAATGAAGCTGGGAGAAGTGGCTCCAGCTCCATAGAGAAGAGGCTGCAGCAGACAGGAACTACACGGGACAGAGCAGGAAGCATAATTTTGTTTGGGACAAGGTCTCACTAAGTCACCAAGGTACCCAGGCTGGGCTTGAACTAGTGATCTTGCCATCTCGGATTACAGGTGTGTGTCAGTGTTTCAGAATGGAAGTCAGGTTTTACTAAGTGACAGACACTGTTGGCAGGCTAGTGGAAGGAAGGTAGGAAGAGTTCTCAGGCTGGTGGGGGCACATACGTGCAAGCCCAGCACTCTGGGAGGCTGAAGCAGAACCGCAGGTTGGAGCCCAGTGTAGGCAACTTAGCGACTTAGTGAGACCCTGTCTCAAAATAAAAATAAAAAAGGGCTGGGATGTAACTTAATGTGAAGGATGTAACTTAATTCAATCCCCAATACCACAATGAGAGAGAGAGAGAGAGAGAGAGAGAGAGAGAGAGAGAGAGAGAGAGAGAGAGGAAGAAGACAGCTCAGTCTAGGCAACTTTGTCAAATCCCCACCCCCACCCACAAGGGCCCAGGTTATCTCTCGGGGGTTGACCTAGCTTTTTCTAGCCCCACAGTGACACTCCTCCTGGATCGCAGGCATCACACCCACAGCCCTGCGATGAGGTCCTGTCCTGCCCCTGCTCCTCCAGTAGGTGGCAGCTGCCCCCAGGACCCAGCGCCTCCGGGAGGTGGACGCCGGCTCTTCTCCAAGTTGCTGCTGCCCCTGGCTGGCTGGGGAGAAGGATGAATGGCACAGACATGGCTGGGGCTGGCCAACACAGCTATTGATTTTCATTTAGGGGAATAATTAAATATTAATTTTCACTTTGTTAAGCTAGGGAGAGTGAATAAAGCCAATGCTGGCAGAAGCATGGGAAGCCAAGCCACGTTGGAGGTCTGCAGGTGATCAGGAGGGAGAGGGTAGGCATAGACAACCCCCCATCACCATCCTTTCCAGCACCTAACAGCCCTGTCTGTCATTGTGTTGGCTCTGGTGACAGCATGGTAGTTAAATGAATGAGCTCTGAAGCTGGACTAACTGGGCTCAAAACCCAGATCTTCCAATTAGTCGCTTTGCAAACTTGGACAAGTCACTTGACTTTTAGGACTCAGTTCCCTCATCTGTAGAATGGGGATACCAAAGCAATACATTCATCATAAAAGATGTAATGACTTAAGACATGGAAAATAGCTGACTGTGGTTGTGTATACCTGTAATCCCAGCACTTGGGAGCCTGAGGTAGGAGGATTGCCTGCTTGGCACATTGTGATTTCAAGGCCAGCTTGTACTACATAGTGAGACTCTATCCCCAAAAACCAAATGCAAAAAGAACGTGGAAAATGCTATGAACACTGGTACCCATAGTTGTTAGTTATTATTCTTTTGTTTTCTCCCCAGTACGTCTCCTGTCTCTTAGGTCTTTGTAGCCCTTGGCTCAGGTGTCCTCAGTCTTTAGGGTTCTCCAGGGAGCCCTCATCAAGTACAGCCCTGGGCTCAGTGGGCAGTTTTCACCCTCCTGAAGTTCGTCTTAGTGTTTTGCAGTTTCTCCCATTGGCTTTGAGGATGAAATCCAAATCCCTCTGCTGGCGCTCGGCTTCCTTTCAGCGGCTGCCCCCGGAGCCCCGCCAGCCCCACCACAGTGCACACCTGCCTGTTCCTTCCGCCTTTGCCCTTTTGCTGAGCTATTTCCCACACAGATGTCACGGCTCATCTCACAGTACTAGCGGCACAACTCGCTTGCTCCCACGAGAAGATGAATGACGACTTTGACTACTGCTCCTACGAGTGCCACTGGGACTTACTGCTGCTGTCACCATCAGCTGACCAGTGTGGAGTGTTAATTTTCTCCCAAGAACTGTGCTAAGCACTTTATGTGACTTGACGTTCTTTTTTTTTTTTTTTTTTTTTTTTTTTTTTTTTTGAGAGACTGGGGATTGTTGCACTTGCCAGGCAAGTGCTTATTCTCCTTAGCCATCTCCCTGGCCCAAATGACTAGACTTTCAACCAGTGTAACAACCCTGTTAGCTCAGTCATACAGGTGGAGAAACCCAGGCTTAGAGGTAGGACTTGCCTGAGGTCACAGAGCTAGACAGCAACCAGGCATGAGTCTGTAGCTTCCATAGCTTATGTAGAGGATGCATGATGGTTGGAAACTGGATTTTAAAAAAGGTGTGGGGGCAGCGAGATAGCTCAGTGGACTAAGCACCTGCTTAGGCAAGTGCAGGGACTGCGGTTTGATCCCTAGCACCACATGCTGCACTGGCCCCGCGCCTGGGCCTGCTGAGTGCACCACATAGACCTAGTGAGGTGGTGCATGCCTGGAATCCCAGAGCTGGGGAGGCTGAAAACAGGAGGATCACTATGAGTCCCACCTACACAGTGGGACTGTATATGACATACATAAAAAAAGAAACTGGGACTACATGACCCTGAGTGTCCAAGAATGAGGTTCAAGCTGCTTCACGTGGTTCTAGGCTAGGACACTCCATGAAGCTCGGTCCACTCTTACGGAGCTTGTTCCATTGCTGGGCAGTTCCAACTCAGTACAGTGACTTTCTTATATAGTACCTGGACTGGCTACAGCCAAGGGAGCTAGGTGTGACTACAACCCACTCTGTATAGATGAGCAATCTGAGGATCAAAAATCTAAGCAGAGGATGGGGAGATGGCTCAGTGGTCTAAGCGCCTGCCTGGCAAGTGCAATGACCCAAGTTCGATCCCTGGTACTGCATACCATGCCAGCCCTGGAACCCCAGGCATAAACCAGGTGTGGAACACCGGCCCCAAAACCAGGTGTGGTGTGCACACCTGTAATCCTAATGCTGGGGAGGCTGAGGTAAGAGGATCACTATGAGTCCAAACTGCCAGAGACGTAGAACTGGTAAATGGCAGAGCTGAGATTCAAACCTATATATCTGGGAAACTTGAGAAGCACTTTTTTTTTTCTTCTTCAGTCACACTATATAGTTAAGGCTAGCCTTGAACTCATGGTGATCCTCCTGCCTCAGGCTCCTATTGTGTGATGACAGGCATGCACTACCACGTCCAGCTTAAAAACCAGTATTCTTAATGATTACATTACAGTGCCTTCCTAGCTAAGCCCAGATGAAAGCCTATCTTCTCTGGTAGCATCTCCCCAGTTCCCTCTCATATCATCCCAAGGTGGTTTGGGTCTTTGTTCCCACTTGCAGTTCTCGCTTTGGCAAGCTAACGACCCTCTTACAGCTGAGGCCTAGAGCAAATGCAGTCCCAGATGTGGCCTGCCCATGACATTTGAAGAGAGCTCTTACCCTAGGGGCACCACACTTGCCACAAGAGAAAATGCTGTGCAGTGTGACTTGCGCTCCTTTAGTGACTTCCGTCTGCCGCTTGGTCCAGAGGGCCCACTAGGTCTTTTGTCCAGGGATTATTCATCAGCCAAGAACAGACCATGTGTCGTGTATTCTTAGAAGTTCTGCTGCCTTAGGATATCACCAAACTTTAGCCAAGTGTTGGAGTACAGAGCTGTCTTGGTAAGTAAAGGTGACTAAAGGCATCTGCCCTCCAAAAGTATTAGAGGAAGGGGGCCAAAAGGAAGTGTCCTCAAAGACCACAGGACTAGAGAAGACAGAATACCAGTCCAGTAGAGCCCCCCACCCCGTACAACTACACCCATGCTCGTGCCAGTACCTACATGCATGCTTTTACATCTGGAGCCATGCTTCTAGCCACGGTGAACAAATTCTAGCCCAGCCCACAAAACATTTGCCTCTCCTAAAAGATAAGAGGGAATGCTTAGTCCATGGATCATGAGCTCATTTCTTTGAGGCAGGAGACTGAGTTTTGTAGAAACTGTAGCTGTTCAGGACACAGGACATACTCGCCTAGAAAGTGACGCTGCGCCTGTCTCAGTCCCAAACCAGCCCCATCTGAGGATCTGCATGCACACAGGGCACTGTCCCCAGCTCAGGGGGACTCCCACCACCCCCTTCCCCCCCCGGCCTTGGTGACTTACCCCTGGCAGGGTCTTCTGCTCATGCAGTGCACTCTGGGCCTTGAGAGCAGAGTCCCGGGCGCAGTAGGTGAGGAAGGCACAGCCTGAGGAGGAAGGGGCTGGCTCAGGGGCGCTCCTGAACCCCCAAATGCCCTCCTTGGAAAGATACCCCCTAAGCTGGTGAACATAAGCCCATTCTCCTTTAAGCCAGAATATTGTTTCTCTGCCTCCTGCTCTTTCTGCAGGGAGGGTCTTCTTGTCCTTGGGGACCTGGGCTGCACACTCTGGCCCAAGGCCCAGGGACCATGTGTGCCTACACATAGGTGCAGGCATTTGTAACCTTGCATTCCCCTCCTCACTGAAGATGTTACATCTTGCGGGGATTAAACCCCCTTAAGTGACTTTGCCTTCCTCTTCAACCCTTTTCTTTTTCTATTTATTTATTTATTTTTAAATATTTATTTATTTATTTTGTGAGTGTGTGGCCAGCTCAGCCCACCAGGGGGCGGGGCTGGCTGGCATGTGGTGCTGGGGGATTGAACCGCAGTCCCTGTGTTTTGCTTAGCTTAGCTTGTTCTAAGTAGGTGCTTTAGACCACTGAGCCATCTCACCAGCCCACCCTTTTCTTTTTAGATCCAGATTCATGGAGTCTTCTAGATTGACCTTGGTTCTTTCCCCACTGAGTTTCAGATGAGAGGCCCAACCCCAGGGCCTCATGACTCCTTCCAATACCTCCCTCCATGAAGTTTGACACTACAAGGTGAGAAGAAGGGTGGGAACTTCCAGGGACCCCCTAATCCCACTCATGGAGCTTGACCTGTCCATTCTCTCAGGGATTCAAGATAGGGCCCCTCAAAGTGTTCTTGTGTCCCAAGTATGATTCTCTTAAAAGGACCAACATAGAAGACAGGGAGGGAGTCTGGGTTAAACCAAAAGGTCAACAACCCATGCCTCTTTGCTCAGCCTCCAGAACTGGACCCCCCCCCCCAAGAAGCACTGAAGCTCAGATCTCTTCCTTTCCAATGCTCACAGGTCATCTATTCATTAGAAAATAATGAACAGCTATGAGGGAGCATTATGACAGGTTTGAGGTTAGCGAGGCAACCAGATGAACACTTTCCCTGCCCTCACGAGAATTAGATAAATAATGGGGGGCATCTAACAGAGTCCAGAAGGAGGGGGAATAACTCAAAAAAGGAATAACTCAAAGGAACATCTTTAAAAACAAGAATATAAAGTCCTCCAGAACCAGGTAGCTAAAGGATGGTGATTGTTTCAGGTAGAAGAAGGAAGAGCATATATGAAGACTGAGTCAAGAATTTAGTATTTTTGGCTGGGCGTGGTGGTGCACACCTGTAATCCCAGCAGTCAGGAGGCTAAGGCAGGAAGATCACTGGGAGTTCAAGATCAGCCTGGGCAACAAAGTGAGCTCAAGGGGCTGGCGAGATAGCTCGCTTCTAAAAATGGGAAGGGCACGCATAATTAGGCAGCCTGTATCTAATTTGTAATCCACCACATGGAATAAAACCATTTGAAGAACAGCTTCTCTTAATTTTGAGGGTAGATAAAATACTTGAGGAGAGTGTGAAACGAGAGGAGAAAAAGCCCCCAATGATGACAAAATGCTAGCATCAGAGTAGTATAAAAAAAATTTCAGCTGAGGGGCCAGCGAGATAGCTCAGCGGACTAAAGCGCCTGCTTAGGCAAGCTTAGGCACACATAGGGACTGCAGGTCCACCCCCGTTTGAGCCAGCCCCCCCACACCAGGGCAGACTAAGCCAGCCAGAGTCTGGGCAAAGTGGCATACTTATGGCTGAAATCCCAGTGCTGGGGAGGCTGAAAACAGGAGAATCACTAGGAGTCTGAGCTGCATAAGGAGACCCTGCAACAACCAAATACTTTAAAAAACAAAGTGAGCTCAGGGCTCAGGAACAGTCTGAAGTGTATAGTGAGATCTTGTCTCCAAAATAAGGGGTGGGGAGGGGGAGAATGTAATATTTTGGGGCCAAGAGTGGGATGCACATCTGTAATCCCAACACTGTAGAAGGCCGAGGCAGAAAAATCATACTCTAGAACCCAGCCTACTTAACAACTTAGGCTCTGTCTCAAAATAAAAGAACAAAAAGGTCTAGAGGTGTAGTTCAGTGCAAAGGCCCTGAGTTCAATACCCAGTATCGGAAAAAAAAAAAAAAATCAGTGTGTTGGGAAATAGAAACCTAGCATGGAGGCCGGTGGGTGGAGGGGCCAGTTGTGTAGGGAAGCATTACAAACCTCAATCTGATTCTAAACTTTTTCCTGAAAGCAATGGACAGCCACTAAAGTGGTTTTAAGTGGGCTTTGTGACATGATAAGATCTGTTTTTTAAAAGAGCCTTTTGAGTGTAGGAAGGAAGAGGACTGAAGAGAAAGTATATGTTGGAAACCATTAGGAGCTCAGTGCAATTTTCCACTGAGACCTCAGCAGACTAGAAAAGCAAATGGGAGCATTGTGTGTGTGTGTGTGTGTGTGTGTGTGTGTGTGTGTGTGTGTGTGTGTTCTATTAGGGTTGTCTCCTGAAGATGGGGGCAGATATCTGCCATTCATTGAATTAGGGGGGATCTCAGAGAATTCCTGTCAAACTCATATCATAGCAATAGGAAACCTGAATGAAGCCCACGGAGAAGCAGTGGCAGGGCAATACTGGCTAATTTCTAACTCCAAGGCTGGGTTGTTTTCAAAGCGCTATGTTTGCTTCTGCCCTTGGTACCCAGCCATCAAAAGTAAAATGAGTCACTCACTCTAGTTGTGCAATGTCACCATTGCGGGGAGAAGGTGTGGACAATGGTGACTCGGAGACCCTCTGTAATCACCTTTTGAGGTGGTACTGGCCTCGGAGAGGTGCAAGTTGGAACAGAAATAAATCCCGAAACACCTGATTCTGCTTACATCACTGCCCTGTCTTGTGCCACCAAACCATGTCAATTGACGTCAGAAGCAGGCAGAGGGCTTTTCTGAAAGGCTCAGGAGCCCAAATGCTACCTAAAGGAGACTATGTGAATTGCCTGGGGTAGAAGGTGGAAGAATGGAAGGACAGAAATACAGAGAAGCATGGCTTGAGAGACTAGGAAAAGTGTGGGTAGGAATTAGAGCTAACTGGGGGAGAGAGAGAGAGGCTGAGGGAACAGTTCAGAGACCCTCATAGTGTTTGAGTGAGAAGTGAAGGAATTAAAGGTATTGAATATACTTCCTTTATTGTACAGATAACCTACAAGGATTAGGTTTGTAGTTACTTGGTGAAATCAACGTTTAGAAAATACAATGTTACTATAGGTGGGTGGACAGATAAGTAGGACGTTGAGGAGCATTCTAAGAACATTGGGTGGTGAGATCTCGACCTTTCGTGGCCTATGTAACATATTCCATTCCTATACAGATGGTTCCAGCCCTTCTATGGGAATTGTCCTGAAGTCCCTACATTATTCTCCCAAGGGAGACTAGGCGTCCCTGCTGAAAAGAGGTGTACACTTGATCCCAGCTCTCCCCCCTTAGGAATCTGGCTTTAGTTGTGCAATAGGGGGCCACTGCTAAGAAAAGAGGATCATGACAGATAGTGGGTGCCCCTTCTCCACCGAAAACCTGAAACTACAACATGATGCAGGGTAGGGAGCTAAGGATGTTTCCCTGAAAATTGCTGCCCCTGCCCCTGCCCAGGTATGACATGTGACTCTCCCCTGTTACTTCACCTCAGCCTGGGCAGACTTCACCCTGTAAACAAGCCTCCTCCCTCTCTGTTCAGGAAGAAAGGGGTGTGGCTGGACCGAGGGTGGTGTCTGCGTTTCTTGCAAGGGCAGGGAGAAGATCGCCCCCACCTGTTCTTCAGCCTGACCCACCCTGAGAGGGCTCTGAAGGGAAGGAAAACAGGGGGCTGTGGTGAGGAACCAATGGGCGCGGGAGAGGATACTACAGGATGGAAGAAGTGAAGACTTGACTAAGGGGAAACCAAAGATGAAGAGGCCCGAGGTGGCAAGAGCTCTCAGCTGGGATTGGGGTCTGGTCTCAAAGCAGAAATAGAGGTGGAAGGGATAACCGTCGGATATGAGGGGGCGTTTGGAACTGAGAACCTCCTGGAAGGTGAACTGCACTTTCTGCTTGACAGGTCTGGGTTCACAGGAAGGGAGAGTTCGGGTCTGTGGGGTTGGGATTAGCAGTCTGAAAGTCAGGCAACAGCTCTGGGGATTGGCTGGAGCTGGAGGCCAGGAGGAGTGGTGTGAGTCCAAGCTACTGATGTGAGTAGTTGGGCCTGGGTGGGGCGGCACCAGGTAGAGGGTTCAGGAACACGCGGGTCCGGGGTTCAGGAGACGGGTACGGGGAAGCAAGGAGGTGGGATGAGTTTCCACAGCGCAGGATCTGGGCTATGTGGTGGAAGGAAACGTGAGGTCCACCTGGAAGGCGGGACAGCCGGGATGTGGAGGTGGGGTAGGGCTTGGGAGGTGAGCGTGAGGAGCAGAGTGACGTTCGGAGAGAAACCCGGGCCTGAGAGTCCCGGGGGAGGAGGGACCGGGTCCGAGGCGGGCAGGACGTGGTCTGGTGTAGGACCGGCTCTGGCTAGGGCTGAGGCGGGGGCTGCAGCCGGGGCTGGGCTGGGCCGCGCTCTAATTGGACCGGGCCGGGTCGGGCCGGGCTGGGCTGGGCTGGGCTGACCCCGCGCACCTTTGTGGAGGCCGGTGAGCCGGTCCTTCAGCACCGTCAGCTCGTAGATGCGGCCGAACTCCTCGAACAGCGGCTTGAGGTCCTGCTCGTCCAAGCCCCGCGGGATCTGCCCCACGAAGAGCTTGATGGCGTCGTGGTCCTTCATGGGCACCGCGGCGCCCGGGTTCAGCCCGCTCGCGCCGACGCCGCTGTCCGCGGTGCTGAAGCCCAGGCGCGGGCCGGGGCCGGCGGGCGGCG